AGCGCCATCATCAGGAGTGAAGTAATATCAAGTGCAAAATACTTATGATGTAAAAATTACGATGTTACACATTCAAATAACAAAAGAAGATTGGAAGTTAACCACTTATTTACATATTTATTCCCTCAACTCCGTTTAAATATTCTCCGTTATTGTCTTTTCGATATTATTTAAATAGGTTCAGGAATATTCACAGCAATTTTTTTTAGCTCACTTATTTTAGTTTTTAGCCAATTAATGATGTTATTTGCTTCATTTACATATTAAGCTAAGGCTGAAAAAGATGTTTTATTATAATTTACACGTGTTATGGTCATTTATTTCTAAGTTTCTGTTTGTCCAATGTATTTTTTACTTCATTCACAACAGGTTCCATAAATACCAGATCTATCTAAATTTGTTAGTTTGTCTTTGAAGTAAAAATGGTAAAACGGCAAATTTTCTGTTTCGAATTAAATTTATAATAATTTTGTACAGTTATGTGCTACATCTTTGTATAATTCGATTTAAAGATGTATTATATTAGATATCTTTATAAATATATCTAATAACAACAAGCTCTGAGACCTTATGTTCTGAACGAAAAGCTCCGTGTTCATTGGTTTTTAAAGCACTGTGAAAATGGATGACATGGTTTCACGAGTGGCGACATGAAAACTGAATATGATTTTCGATGTGCTGATACTACTAGTTTCAACGTTTTTCTCCTCAAGAAATTCAATTTGATTATCTTTCTTTGGATCATAAGTGAATTGAATAGTTTAGTAGAACCTATAGTGTTTATGTAAATTACAAAATCTTCTAATTTTTGCACATACATGACCACACACTAATCATGTGTCATGCACGTATCTAATCCATCAGGTTAATTTTATAAGTGCATTTCCAAATAATCATTCTTTTTTCCAAAATCAACCATGAAGAGTTAAAAGATAATTCTCTTATTATTTTTTTTTAATGTAAAGGTAAGTATTACAAACAAAATTGCTGGTAATTAAGAAATATTTCTTTAAAACGTAGCTAATTAAAAACTTGACACCACTGTTTCAGTCTTGTTGACGACACATCCATTTCATCCATTACGGATTTCAAACCAGGGTTGTTTAAGAATACTTGTTAGACGAAAACATAAAGTATCTATTATAATTGCGATTGTTAATTCAAAGAAGTAATTAAATTAATTTCAAAGTATTTAAATAAATTAAAACGAATTTAGTATATAAAATACTTTCTTAAACCTAAATCAAATTTCGTTCGTTATTAATCGCAAAGTTCTACAATGGGCTACCTACACTTTATTCATCACAGAGATTGAACCCCATATTTTAGTGTCATAAGCTTTCATGCTTATCGCCGAAACACTTTGAATAAATATAATGACAATGATGTGCTTTAAACTAAAAATTAAAATATTTTGAGGAGGGATTTTCAAAATATGCTTTTTAATACTTGATCAATACAAAACGTATAAAATGCACAGCTGTTTAATTCGAGGTTTACCTTGAATTTTTTTACGATGTTTAACTTTTCGCTTTAAAACTATGATAAACACGTTTACATGAACAGGACGAGGCTTAACATAGTGGACAATAATGGCTGGAGACGGCTTAAATGGGTAATGAAGAAAAACTTTAATTTAAGCCGTCTCCAGCCATTATTAGTCTCAAAGTGGGTTCCTCGTCATCGAATAGTGGACAATGTGTTCGAACTGTGAATATGAGGAAGATTCATGATTCGTTGACACTGAAATGTACTCCACATTTTTGGAACATGGGTGAGTTATCAGAGTGACAGTAAAATCCCATTATCGATCAGACAAGAGTGAGTATTGTGGACTAGCTGTCCTCCATCTACTTTTGTCAGTTAAAAATTAGGGACGGCTATGCACAGTTGGCTATTTGGATAGCTTTGTGCTAAATTTCTGAAACAAACCAAATTTATATGAGCAAATAATGGAATATTTTTACATTTAAAACTTTCTTTTTGGGTATGTGATGGAAATATACATGTTTTATATATATTGTTGTTAAAACCATAATTATCTGGTTGCTACGAAATACAATCATTGAATTTTATTTCGAGACGGATAGCATTCTGTTTTTCCACTTGACTAAAGTTTTAGATCAAAATATTAAAAAGTGTACCACTATGACTTGAGGCCCGG